GAGGTGGAAAACTAAGACAAGTCCGGGGGTGCTGTCTAGGTTGTCATCCTGTCGGGAGTGGGCGATGGCAAACGGACCGGGGGCGGGGGGAAGCGCGGCCCTTGATTGGTCTTTTCGAGCAGGCAGAGGCTGGTGCGCCGTCACACCACGCGCGGACAGATGTCGCCTTCCCAGAGCACCTGGAGACGGGCTGCCCGTGCGCCGGCGCTGCCGCTTGTCACTCACCCAGCCTCGGACGGCGCAGGGAGATCCGGCTCTCCGACATTTCTAAAACGCTCATTCAAAATCATTAGTGAGAGAGGAGAGGGGTTTGAAAATATCTTGTTTCTGTGTTGGCAGTAAAAGGTCTTGAGGAACCCAACAAGGACTCTTCCGCCATAGGCGTCTCTCTCCCCAAGAAAAGAGGCCTCTAGAGCCCTAGGATGCTGAGAGGATACAAGAAAGTAAGATAGTACTCTTTTGTGGTTACAGGTCAACAGTTTGGAAGAGTTGAACAGCAAGGAATCACTTTGCAACATTGTAAGACACTCAGTATCAGGTTAACCACACATAACCTATGTCAACATAAGAAATGTTCAAACTTGTGGAAAATTTTTATGAGAGTTTATCTGAGCGGGCCTGACATAGGCCAGGGAGCAAGATCTCAAGTGCTCCGGAAAATAACAGCTCTTATTATGCCTTTGATATTAAGGAGGGAACATAAAGCAAGGTGGGGATTGGATTGCAGGATAGTTAATGAAATTATTTGCTCTCTTAAGGGTTAATACCCCCTTTGAAGGGTATTACTTCTGGTGTTAACCTACTAGATGCACAAGAACAATGGACAGAGCTGGCTTAAAACCTTTCACTAAAGTCATATGCCTGGGATATGACTACCCACCATGACCTGCCCAGTTAGGAATTTATGATCAGGTCACCCTGTGAGGTTACTTTCCACAGAACCCTTTTTTTTTCATCCACGCCTAGTGTGTGTGTATCTCCCACAGGGCACAGAGCATGTTTCTCTATGGGGTGGAAGAGTATGGTGAGCAATGTAAAGTACCTTTTAACCCAAAGACCTGCTTTCTATATCCTGAAAACTCTGATCCCACATGTTCTGGCCCAGCTATCCTTTTTTACTTTAACTCCTGATCACCAGAGGGGTTTCCTGGAGTAAAGAAGGCCAGTGGATGAGTCTGATTAGCTAGTTAAAATAGCAAAAATACAATAAAGACAAACTTACTGAGAGATCAACAACTAAAAAGTTTAAGCCTTCCTGGTAGTTTTATTCAAAGTGTTCATTTCTTCCTATTTTTGCCATTTTAACACACCTAGTGGTAGAGAGCATTAATAGGCTAACAATATGAAGAGGTAATAATATATTTAAATTTTTAAAAACTTGCTTTCTTTCAAGCTTCAAACATACTTCGAAGTGTAAGATAAACATGACATTTTATTGTATTACTGTACAAGAGCTCACCCTCACAATTTCACCCCAAATGGTATCACCTTTCAGTGATCAAAACAGCCACTGATTTTTAAAAAATTATTAAGAAAGATAAAAAATAAAAAAGAGCATAAATCATCTTGGAAACAACAACAGCCAATTTCAGCAAAATGAAATTAGACTCCTCCATCGATTATGGTCTACACAGTTCATTTGGAACTTAATTTTATATGTGCTTTCATTTTCATTAATCATTTATACGTCCATTTGTTTTTCAAATAGACCGCTGCTCAGGGCAGGGGCCATTTTTTACACCTTGCTCACCCAGAACAGTACAGAGAACATAATGGTGAAAATCAAAGACCTGACCAAAAGCAGGCATGCTGAACCCTGTTAGAGTTATAGATTCTTTCATTTATACTCTCCTCCCAAGTTTTGTGAACGTTTCGCTAATCTAGAGAGCAGGTAACAAAATTCAGCCAGAAAGCATTTTTTTCCAGGTGAGAAGAAAAAGAAAGAGGGGGGAGAGAAGTAAACTAATAGCTAACAGGCACTGAGCCCTTCCCAAGCCAGAGGCTGTGTGTGTTATATCATTTCATCATCACAGTAACTCCATGACGTCGGCACAATTGTAATCCTTGTTTAAAAAATCAGGAAATTGAGGCACTGAGGGTTCAGGAACCTGTCCAAAGCCAAATCACTAGTAACTGTTGACATCAGAGCCTCCACTATATTGAGCACTATGCTATAAGACACGCCGCACACCCCACCCCCGCCCTACTCACTGAAAACCCTTGTTTCTTTCTGTCCATCACTACTGTGGAACTTGTACAGAACACAAAAATAAAAATAGTGATACATCAAAAAGAGCAAATCTGACTTTCTTAAATTCCACCTTCTTGATCCTTATGAAATAAATGATTCTCATCATTTCCCAAAGAGCCATTCTGAGCTCCTTTTGCCCTTTAAAAAAAAAAAAAATCTTTATTGGTTTCAGGGAGAGGAAGAGAGAGATAGAAACATCAATGATGAGAAAGTCATCATTGATTGGCTACCTCCTGCACACTCCTGGCTCCCGACTGGGGATCGAGCCTGCAACCCCGAGCACATGCCCTGACCAGGAATCGAACCTCCATCTCCTGGATCCTAGGTCAATGCTCACCTGCTGAGCCACGCCCGGCCATGCCCTTTTGCCCATTTCCTAGCTAAGGCAGTTTGACCTGTAATGGGCCATCACAAGCAGAGGCCCTGAGTTGTCCCACTAGAAGCAACTTATTTGGGATGAAATGGGAGTAAGCATATTATTATCATTTTAGAGGCCTTAAGCAACATCCAATATTTTTCATCCCTAATCTGTTGGTGGTGACAACTCTAGTTACCTAAGGAATTGATGGTGCTGTACCACTCTACCCAAGTGGAATTTTAGAATTTTAGTGCTCTTCACTAACAGCTCTTGTTTTGGCCTAATTAATATTCATCTCCAAATACACAGACACCAAAATTTTCCTAGTGCCATCCTACAGTACTGGGGCAGACATGGAATAAGCAGCCTGGAATCCCTGTCAAGAAAGCACACTGCCCAGCATCAAGGAGTGTGATTAACCAACAAACTCCAGGTGTTTTGTAAGGGTTCATTTAGCTTTCAACCTGAGGTGGTGCTATTTTCAGGGTAGCACTTGTCCATTCACTGAATAGGTGTGGTACAGGCCTACCCACTTTTGCCTGATGTGGGACCCCTTTAAGGGGCAATCTATTCTTCAGAGCTCCCCACTGAACGGGCAGAGACTTTGTCAGCTCTGTATATCATGATAACTCTCCCCTCCCACACCTTTTTACTTTCACAGATGTTATCTCCCCAGTAAATCTCTTAAATTCATAACTTTATGTCAGCATCTGCTTCCTGGAGAATCCAACCTAGACAAGTACCAAGATGTAAAGTGATAGAACATTGTTAATTTTATCAAAATTGTATTAAATAACTACAACTATTCTTTCACATGATTGATGTTTCATCTCCAGAATAACCCTCAGTACCTTCCATTGTTACTATTTTCTCATGGGACATGTATCTTCAGCTTCCCACTAAGAATAACTTTGATGTTCTGTACAGTGATGCCATCAGGTCACAGAGTCCTCTTTGCTTGGGGCATGCTTCCCACTGGGAGTCCCTCCTACCTTCCCAGAAGCAGAGCCATTCCCTCCAGAAGTAAACTGATTTCTTGTCATCCTCCATGTTCTCTTCTAACCAGGTATGCTAAGCTGCATATACATCCACCAGATTCTTTGTTGAGATTCCCATTAGTTAAAGAGCAGTGGACACTCCATTGCCTGCAGATGGCCATATACACAGTCCTAAATCATGGGCAAATGCTCCATATTTTTCGTTTTGATTTTTAGTTGTGGTGGTTTTTTTATCACTTCCTGTACAACATAGAACATGCAACCTAGAACTACTCAAGTAGTCCTTGATGGTTACTGTGACCAAAGGTCCTAATAGTTCATTGCATTTGGATTATGTATGAGTTAGTATATTTACCTAGAGAATGATTGAAAAGAGGTAAAATTACATTATCTGAAGATTTCTATCTCTACCTAATAAAAATTCAGTAGCCATTATTTTCTATACATTAAATTCTAAAGTATATTTAGAAAATGCAAGAAACATTTATTTTAATAAATGAAAATAAGCGCACTTATTACTCCAAAGTTTTATCTCTATTACCATTTTTGTGGATCTTTTAAGCAGTTTGTAGGCTTAAACTTCAGTTTAGCTTCACATGATCTTATTTCAGTGGTTCTGAGATTTCTGTCATCTGTTCAGCTCTATAATTTTAGAGAGGAAATCTAATGTGAGCAATTTGACAATCTGGTATCTACTTCCTTTCCCCCTTTTTGTTCTCTACCAGTGTATTAGAGGAATCTAAAATATAGATGGGTTTTTTTGTTTGTTTGTTTGTTTGTTTGTTTTAAATCAATCAGGGTTCAGCCAAAACAGAACCAACAGAAATTATGTATCAAGAAGTTTATTGTAGGCTTTTCCTCTCAGGAGCACGCCCACACCTTTTCAGTCCTTTGCTTCTTCCCTCCCCCAGGGACATTACCTTTGCCTTTCCCTCTCCTAAGCTCCAAGGGCC